ATGATGCTTTTTATAATAGGAAGGATTGCAATGAATTCAATGCAATGATGCAATAATAAGTTATTTTTTGGAAAGATAAAAAAGTGGTAGTTAAGGATATATAAGACCTTCTTCAAACCATTTTTGGTCATAGAGGTATGAAAGCATTGATTCAAGATTATTTGGTGGCATATAGAATTGCAACACAAGAAAGTACAAATTATGGTATTACGATGGATAAAGACTTCAACAAAAGTATAGACATAAGTGGATTTTGGACTATTGTCATTTCTACAATTAAAAAAGAAAGATGCCACAAAAAGCATTGTTAAAAATTGTTGCTACAATATGTCATGCATTAAGTTGGAAAGATCATATAGCACTTCTTTTAATCCATGCAAATATTGCTAAAAGCCAACACAAGGCCTTAATGGAAGAACAAAGAAGGAAATATTTTGATGATACATGAGAAGAAAATTCTTCTAAGAAGAAAATTCAAAGAGATAAGGCTTGTAAAGTGACTTCATAAGAATTATCTACAAATAATACTTCAATAATATTTAAAAAAAAAAAAAAAAAAAAAGAGATAAAAGATAAAAGTAAATCAATAGCTTATAAACTTCTTTTTGATATTAAAGAAATAATATATTTGAAAGAAGTATTGAAAGAATATGCATTAAATATAAATTTAGATTTCAAATTAAAAGAGATTTTAGAGATTGCAGATTAAATGCATATATGATAGATAGGATGAATAAGGTATTAAGAGACTTTGTTTTTAAAAAAATTATGTCTTTTTTAAATAATTTTTCTATTGAAGAATGTAAAGAAGGAAAAAAAAGACAAGACTTTAGATGAAAAGCAATGCCATAAGTATATTATTAATTATATATAAGATTATAAAAATATTTTAACTTGATTTTAAAAAATTTATCTTATATTTTTAGAAGTATTATATATATTTAAAATATAAGATATCATTGTTGGATATTTGTGTAGATTTTATGGAAGTAAATCAAATCCAAGCAAAGTTGATATAATTGAAAGAATGAAGGATATATGATTCTTTGACAAAAATATATAGGTTTTTAGGTGCTTGTGTATTTTATCATATATAGATTCTTCATTATGCTCATATAGTGGATCTATTCTATAAATAATTATATAAAGATTGTTCTATTAAATAAATATATATATATATATATATATATATATATATTGAAGCAATGTAAAGGCTAAAGGTGTTATTGTTGATATCTCTAATTTTAAAAAGAATTAATTATGAGTATAAAAGACAAGTAATTCTTATTATAGATACTAGTTTTATTACTATTGGATGGATTGTAGATCAAGATGATTTAAATAGAAATACATTTACAATTTGATTTGGAGCTAAAGATTTAGATATTTACCAATATATATATTTATAAGTCAAAAGAAAATTATGAAGAATTATTTTGGTTATGAAAGCTAAAAAAGATAATTTAATTGATACAATAGTAGTATCTAAAGCAATGGAAAGCTTGAAATGACTATCAATTGTTTAATATTAGATATTATAATACTAAAATGGATTGCTTATATCAAATCATTAAATCCAAAATTTAGGCATGTTGCTGAAAAAGACAATTTAGTAACAAATATATTGTTTCAAGTAAGATGTGAAAAAAAAGTCAAGATGGTTGAAGACATTGATGATGTTGGAACAAAATTCTATTTAGTATCAAATCTTAACAAAGAAGATAAGTTTTTTTTTTGAAGAGCTTTGTGAAAGAAAATTATTGAATATTGGCTATTATTTGAATATGTCAACTGAATAAGAAAATTTATCTATAAATATTTTAAAATATATATATTGATTTTGTTAAAAAAAGGTTTTTATAGAAGAGACCAAAAAAAGATTGAAATGCCACAACAAGTGATATGCAATAAAAAAAGAACGACAAAAATTACTAAAAGTACTTCATAATAGTTTATGGATAGAATATAGGAGAATTTGGGCTATTTTTACTAAACTTAAAGAAAGATATTGAAAAAAATATATATTTTTTGAAATGTATTTTTATTTATAAAATTATATGTAATTTATTAAATATATTTTAATATACAATATCAAGATGGTTTACATCCAATATATCCTTTAGCTATTCATTTTACATAGGTTGTTGATTTGGATATATTTACTTTAGTTTGATTATGGCAAATGAGATATTTGATCTTGGCTTGTAAAGATTTATCAAACCAAGTAGAAGATAGAGCATTAAAAAGAAAGTCTATTGAAGGAATTTGAAGATTTTTACTTGAAGATGTTATATGCTGCTATGGATGTATGAAAAAAATCACTATAGATCATAAAGAATTAAATGTACAAGAAGCCTAAGATTTTTCAAAAAGATGTGGAATTAAATCATCATTGACTATTCCTTATAATTCTAAAGGAAATATAAAAAATCAATAAGATCATTGACTAATTATAAAAACATTAATTAAAGCTTAAAATGGAAAGATTAGAGAATGGCCTTGACTTTTGTCATTTGCATTGTGGATTGATTAAAACAACTCATAGTTTAGTAATAGGATATATGCCTATTAAGCTTATAACAAGTCAAAAACCTATTATGCTAATTGAAAAGAAAGTGTCGACTTAAAGTATGTTACCTTAGAAAGATAAATTTGCAAGACAAGGATTTTTAGCTTTTAGGATTTAACAACTTGAGCAAAGACATGAAGATGTAAAAATAATATTAGAAAGATTAAAAAGAACTAGGTTATAAAATAAGGTACAATTTAATAAACAACATCAATTGAGACCTAAAGCAATTGAAAAAGGTGATTGGATTTTAATCTATGATAATAGCTTGGACAGTCGACATAATGCTTCAAGGAAGGTTTTTAAACAATGGTTTGGACCATATGTGATAATAATTGTTCATGATAATGTAATTTATTTATATGAAGAGCTAAATGGAATAAGATTGAAAATACCAGTTGGAAGGAAGTAAGTGAAGATATTCAAATAAAGACATAGAAAAATAAATATGAAAGATATAAAAGACATAAATATTCTAAGATAAGAAGATGATTTTTGACTTGGATTACAAAAATAATGAAGAAGATTTGGAAGAAGAAATAAAAAGCATAGTAAGAATCAAATAAGATTTAAATTATTTAGCACATAGATTTAGAGGGGATAGATGTCCTGTAGTAACACTACCATATGGTGAAAGATAAAAATATTGATTTTAATATAGAAGAGCGTAATAGAAAGATATAATAGTAAAACATAGATAATTTGTAAGAAGGTAGTAAAAACTTTTAGTAGATTAAGTAAATGAATCATATAAGCATCTTTAGGAAGAATTTAAGAATAGATTTTAGCAAAAATTATCTCAAAATACCAAGAATTGATACCCTGAGAGGACTTGTTGTAAATCAGGGTCAAAATCTAACTCTAAGGCATAAAATTGTGCACCTATGACAATTGCAGGAACCTTTTGCTAATCAAAAAAAATGATTAGAAAAAAGATTTTATATGGATAGTTTGGACATTAGTGTCAAGGAATTTGAATGCATATTGAATTTTTGAGGGCTTTTCAAAATAAGAGATGTACTTAATGGTTTTGGATTTTGAGGAATAAAAAAGAGATTTACAAATTTGAAGATTATGTGAATACCATGGCAAATTTACAGGTAAAATATTGTGAGTTTGTCATTGTGCAATTTTAAAAGTATTTTACAAATTTGAAGTCAATCAAATAGTTAGATTGAAGAATATAGGAGTTTTATTAGATTTATTAACTATTTTAATATTACTAATTAATTATCTTTAGAAAATTCTATTATTTACATTTAAATATGTATTCTATAAAAAATATTTAAATAAAAATTATATAAGTATAATTATTGAATTTAAAAGAAAATAATAATCAAAGAAATTTTATATTAAGCAAAATAAAATCTATATCAATAAACTAAGACAGAAAAAACGTAAATTTTATAAAAATACTATAATTAAAAATTATATTTAATGTATATATAAAAAAATTATTTATATATTCTACATAAGACTATTAAAAAATAAAATGAAGACTAATTATTTTTTTAAAAATCACATTGAGATTCTTTAGAACATTGTAAAAAAATAATAATAATAAAAAAAAAATAATGAGGTTAAAATAATTTGTTACAAAGATAAACAAATTTTTAATTAATATTAAAAACTTTATCTTATATATATACACATAAATGAAAGTTAAAGATTATTTATAATCTTTTAAAAGTACTAAAACACTTATAAAGTATAAGTTTTGTACAATTTTATTGTTGAACATCTCAAAATCTTAACATTAGTAAATCTATAATTTAGTTCATATTGTACATGAAAATTTGAAGCATATTACAATATAATTAATTTAGTTACTTTGGATTTTCATAAGTTATGTTGTAATATATACTTTACATGCACTTTATATTTATATGCGGTAAGCTTTTACTATCATAGAACATATTCAATAAATCTTAAAGCTACCATGTAAAAATTGTGAAGAAAGAGTTGCTGAACAAGAAGACGACAAACTTGAGCAAAAATAAAAAGTACAACCTTAGTGAGATTATTTCTTGAGCATGGCTTATTGATTTTCTTAGAATAAACGGTATATATTTCTAGAAATAAAACTTTTCATCCAAAATCTAACATCCATTACCAGTCTTTGGAAATAATACAGATTTTTAAACAAAACAGTTTTAATTCAAACACAACTCAATTCACCTACGGCAAGAAATTTTATTTCAATATCATTGTGAAGGCTGGTTATGAAATGCACCATATATCTTGTATAGGTTCGGCACCCACAATTTTGGAAATGGAAACCTCATTACAATTATTATGACACCGGAATAGTTTTATGGAATGGTCCACTGAAAAACACACGTCCTCTTCTTGAGCGCTGTTTAAAGCAATGTCAGAAATAAATCGTAGGTGAAAATTAATTGGGTTACTACTTTAAATCTGTTGAAAAAAATTACGACAAAAAACAGATGTTCATCTTTACTGGTATCAAGCATACGTACTTGTAAGATGACACTTCTCATGTGAAAAGGATGAAAACCTTTCCGTGTAATGTATAGTGAGTGAGATATGAATGAGCTACCAAAAAGCTCCCTGATAGTACTGAGATACAGAGGCAAGAGTAGACGAAGCACATGATAATCGATTCGAAGTTCAACTAATGGAACTGCTCTGATTGTGAAAAAATATCCTTGCTAATTCTGCGTCTACACGCGGCGGGTGTTTAGCAAGAAAGTAGACCAACCCCTGTACCGTTTGGCAAATTGAACATAGTCTGACTTTGACAATAAACAACCTCGAAGCTTGAAGAGGGCCCTGAGCTGCTCCTAAACTGCCCCTCAGAAAAGCCATCTCCTGTTACTGAGCTATAGAGTTTTATTTCGTTTCTCCACTTCCCCATGACCCAGACCGTTGCGAAGTCGAGACTCCTGACGGTGGCTTATAAAACAGGACAGCCATGATTCTAAGCCTGGGAATGCTCTGTAGACTGCCATGATTCAGCACAGCTCTTGATGGCTTCCACAAGGACTTCCATCCGCATTCCTCGGCTCCCCTTCACAAGCACAGAATCACCAGGACTAATAAATCTTGCGAGATGGTTGGTCAAGGACGAGGTATTCCGAAATGCTATGATATCCCTCCCTTTGAAGTACTCTGCGGCTTCCGAAAAACAGGTACCTACTACAATCACCAAGTCCAGCTTGAAATCAACGCACAGTTGCAGGATCCCCTTGTGAGAGCTCAGGGAGATTTCACCCAACTCGAACATGTCCCCCAGCAATGCTATACGTCTATTGGACTTCACAGATTGCAACAGCTGAAGGGAAGCTTCCACACTCATTGGATTGGCATTGTAGCAATCGTTGATGACCAGGATTTGAACATGACTTGCAGGACCAACAGCTTCCACTTGACATCTCATATCAATTGGTTGAAACATGGACAACGAACGAGCAACAGACTCCAAAGGGACACCCAGATTTGTGGCCACAGCTGCAGCTGCACATGCATTGATCGCCAAGTGAAGTCCAGGGCTGGGTATCTCAAACTCTACTCTGGTCCGAGTCACTGTTTCGTTCGGATTCCTGACTGGATCGTCCGAAACCAAAGAATTGGCATATCTGGCATACCTGGCAACGTGTTCTAAAATAACGCTTATGCCAAATCCTCGATTAATGGTTTTGGCAGCAACTAACCGCATGTCCGATCCCTCTTTCCGTCCAAATCGAACCTGAACAATCAACCACAATATTTAGCTCCTTCGTTCACGCTATTCTAATCAAAACAAAACGTAAATCACAAAAACAAACGAACAGAAAACGAACGACGTAAAAAAGAGGTGTATGCGTACAAGGAGTACGAAACAGCAAAAAGAGATCGTAGGCAAGTATCACATCAGTACTTCACAAATACTACCACACAGATTCCAACACAGGCAGTTTCAGTGGCATCAGTATCCACTCTGATGTAACCATCACTTGTATTGCTGCCAGAAAGTGATGCACGCTGGTTCCCACAACCCTGGAATGCAGCGAGCAACCAAGAGCTAGGTTAAAATATATACCACTCGAACACCTGCAGGAAGGGGTACAGCCATGGCGAGCGGGTCGTCTGCATTCACGATACATAGATCTCCAGGACGAGCGTTTCGGAATATCTCCCCTTTCGCAGCTGCCACCTCCTCCAAGCCCCCGGGAAAGTTTTCCATGTGCGCTGGTCCTACGTTCAAAAGGACCCTCACATCAGGCTTCGCGGTGTTCGCCAACTCTAGAATCTCTCCTGCATGATTCATGCCAAGCTCCAAAACGCATGCAACGGAGCGCGAGTTCAGGCGCAGCAGCGTCAGAGCAACGCCAATATCATTATTGAAATTTCCCGGAGCTTGGTGCACATGTCCATTCAATCCTTGCAATGCAAGAGTGGTCATGGCGCGCGCCGTGGTCTTTCCCACGCTGCCTGTGAGGCCCACAACAGGCCCCCAAAACCGGGCCCGCACATCCGAGGCCAGTGCCTGCAAGGCATCGAGGGTATCACCTTCCACCTGCACAAATCCTCGAGACCAGCCGTGAGGCACCCAATTGGCCACCACACCCGCACATTGCTTCTCACAAGCTTGGTAAAGAAAAGAATGGCCATCAAAATTGTGACCCGTGAGAGCTAAAAACCACTGCCCGGCACGCATGGTGCGAGTGTCAGTGCAGATGCTTCCTGCGCCACCTTCTGCCAGAACTTTCCCATGTACAGCATGAGCAATGGCGTGGGCATCCCACATCACTCCGCCTTCGTCATCTGCCCAGCTTCCCAGCACGGAGACGTCTACCCCATGGGTCAAAGCGGGGGAAAGTGGGAGCCTCCTAGGAGGATGGCTGTGATGTTCATGAGCATAGGGGAAGAACTTCGCGCGGGAACGGGACATGAAATAATGGGAGAAGGGGCGACGAGAGCAGGCAAAGCCCGTGAAGCGCGAGCTAGGGCACAGAGGGGCGAAGAAAGGAAGAGGAGGAATGGACGGGGAGGAGGGGGAAGGAGAGGAGAGGGAAGGGTCACCAAACAGCAGCAGAATCACAGCTTTCGTGGCAGTGGGAGGATGGGCAGTAGCGAAAGTGAGGGCCGACATGGTTGGCACGGCATCCTTCACCCTCGCGATCTGTCAATCACGCTCGGTATCGCTCAAGCGTTCTCACTCGGAAGCACCGACTGTGACTGCATGGGAGGAAGAAGCGAGACGAAATGTGAGGATGATGGAGGAGGAAAAAGGGCAACGTCGAGGTTTGGAGCAATCGGAATTGGGGATTTCTCCGGCGCAAAAGCATCTCCGAGTACTGCTCTAGAAGTTGGGGGGGGGGGGGGGGCGAAATGGACCCAATGGGCTGTCGTGGCCCCGAGGTCCCCCTCCTCCCCCCTCGAAGTGCTCGGGGGATTCCTAGGAATCTACTGGCCGTGACCGTTCTCGGGTTCCGGCGAGCACCCGGGGGGAGGGCTCGTCAGCGTGGTATGGCCTTTGCTTTGCTTACTCAAACCATATATCTCCTCATATAGCCCTGCTTGGGCTCATCTCTGCGATGCCTTTGTTTTCGAGCCCTCATCTCTGCCCAGCACATCTTTCCGCATCCAGACGAAATTTAGCTTTGATTCTTCCTCACTCACTCAAGTATATTTCCTCCCATTTTATATTTATATGTTTCTTGTAAATAATTTATCTTTTTCTAATATACTATTGCATGGATGAATTAATAAGAAGATTAGTTCAACATGGTTGTCACTGTGATTTTTTAGATTTTTTTGTGCTTTCCAAGGTATAAGCAATTCAAATGCAATTTTCTGTTTTAAAACAAGATCAACACAAAGTACATGATAAACTTATTCTAGCTGCATTCTAGTATATTCTCACTTGGCTACTTAATGTAATGTAAGCAACTTTAATATAATCATGACTTCAAAGCATTTAATTTAAAATTTAGTGTTACATTCAATCTAGAATTTAAATAGTAAGTTTAACTCTTGTAATGTTGATTTTTATAACTTCCTTTAGAATTATCAATTTAATATACAATAATAAATTGTTGTATAATGAAGGCCATTTTAGACACAATTATTTTTTATCATTATTATTTTAATCTTTGCTTGTAAAATCCAACTTAACTTAATATACAAATAATAAAGTTTTTATTTTTTATTTTTTAAAGATAATTTTAAATTTTAATTTTAATTAGATAAAAGTAAGAAGAATCAATACAACACTTTTATAGAGGCATCTAGAGGTGGTAGGAATTTCTTCAATAACTATGCAACCTCAAGTAATTTATGCAAATACAATTGCATCAATTAGAGAATCATTTTAAAGTATTTATTTTTAAAATATTTGATGGCATTAGATCTAAGTTTTGAGAATTCATCAACTAAGTATATTTTTTAATTCAACTTCTACTTCTTAGTTATATAACCAAAGCATCTATTAAATCCATTAAAACTTTAATGAATAGATTTTTTCTTTGTTAATTCTCATTATTTTTAAAATAATGAGATGCTATATTAGATAATTAAAATAATTTAAAAATTATTTATATATAAAAAATAAGATTTAGCCCATACATCAACTCAAAAAAAATTAATTCTAAAACATTGAATTTATTTTTGTCAACATATGCATCATAATTTTAATAACTAGCAATCAATGTCAAGTAAGAAAATATTGCACTTATTAGTGAATTCTTTTAAAAATTATAATATAATGTAACAAAATTATTGCTCAACTTATTATATTTTTAAACATTAAATTAAGCAATTGTTTAAGCCATTTTACTATTAAATAAAAATAACCAATTTCTTAGATTTTGATTAGAAAGCTATATAATGACATCTCAATATATTTTAATTTCTATTTCAAATACTTTTGGTAATTAATTTAAATAATAAAATATAAAAAATATAAAGATTTATTTTATATGCTTCAAATCTATTACAATATAAAAAATAAAAAAATATTAATAAGAAATATTATACTTCTATTATAGAGAAGAAAAACATATTGCCTTGTATTGTTTCAAGTATAAGCAAAATCACAAAACAAGAAATACAATTCTAAAAGAAAATAATGAATTGAGAAATTAGTTTATTTAGTAACATTATAAATCAAGCTATATTTGACTTCTTATATTATATAATCTTATCTAAGAAGTCAAATATGTATATGCAAAATTCATAGACATAAAAATTTTATCTTTAAGAGATATTACTTATAAAATTCTATTTATAGAAATAATTATAAAAAGTAATAAAATTATAATATTATTTATTATTGTAAATATTATAATTAACTTAATCATTTTAGATTTATTATAGTTGAAATAATATAATTCCACAATAAATTGAATATTTGTTGTGTTTAATTTTTTCTTGGATTATTCAAAAATATGAAAAAAATAAAAAATTGATCTCATACTTCAAAATAAGTCAAATATATATTTTATTTATTTTGGATCCAAGGTATTGATATAAGTTGTAAAAACCATTACATAAATTCAAATAAAAAAAATATTATTTGTACAACATTTAGTCTTTGTTCAAGTTAAGGATGAATTAAAATCATAGAATAATATAAGAAGTATTAAGACATATTTAGCAAAAAAAATTTATTTATTAAAATAAAACCAATCTTATAATTATATAATAAAATTTTACCAAAAATTTAATAATTATTTAGATTTTTTCATAATTTTTTGTAAAATAAGTTAATAACTTTATAAGAAAATATTAAAAAAATCTTTAAATTAGATTATTTAACATTCAAATGTACTAATTATAAAAAATACTAATATCAAGAAAATAAATAGAAGTAGAAATAGATAGAAACATATTACATAAATATAATCTTTTTTAAGAAACTTAAAACAAACTTCTAAACATAATTTAGATATTTAGGCTCTTTAAGCTATATCACATTATTATTAAAACATGTCCTATATGTTTTTATTTTTAAGGAGATATATTAGAACCAACTTATAATTTGAAACTTAAGCCACAAGCCTTGTATTTTTTAAAAAGCTTCTACAAGACCTTAAAAGCTAGTATATATGAAAACAAGACTAATGTCATCTTTAATTTTCTTCTTATCTTTTTTATATTCTAATTTTAATTTTAAGTTTCTTTTGGTTCTTTGTAATCTTTGTAATAATATTTTTTTCTTATTATCTTTTTCTTTTTTTTCTTCTTATTTCTATCATTTTTTAAATTATATTTTTTAATATAATAAAAATATATTTGTTACAAACATCCAATAAAATATTTAAAGAATATTTTTAATATATTCTATTAGATTCTAAAAGATTCTAAATGTTTTTTTAGAAGATTTCTAAAAATTTCTTAGAATATTTGAATAGGTTCTAAAAAGTTCTAAGAAGATTAAAGAAAATACCTAAGAAGCTTCTTTGGGTTGCTTCATTTTCAAACAAGATGAGAACTTTTCAAAGGGCTTCTTAAAATTGTTTCATCTTCAAGCAATATAAAAACTTCTTAACAAGGTTTTTAATACCTAGTATATATTGGAGTTAAGGCTAAAGGTATCCTCAATCTTGACAATACATCTCTTAGAGCTTTAGCTTATTTCTTTTGGTATTGATCTTGTACTTATCAGATTTGATTAAATTCTTATTAGTTTTTTTTGTTGAAACTAAAACTTGCTTTGTCTTATGTTGTGATGGGATTTATGTTGCTGTAGAATAGAAAGGTCTTAGATTTTTGAGATAGTCTGGTCTTATTTAATTGGTATCAAAGCAAGTGTTGGATTATTCTTTGATAGCGTATTGATAGCCACTATCTAGTTTAAGGTCACTTATTGAGGTCACACTAGGTATTATGTTGAAACTATCATGAGTTACTCTTAAGAAGTCAATTTAAAGAAGAGAAGGCATTACAATAGTGGAGTTCAATGAAGAAATAGTAGTATAGAAGATATGGTAGAATAATGTTAGATGGAAGCTCACATACAATACTTCATAGGCCAGATAGCTACTCTATAAGGGCTAATAGAAGCCTTTAGGATAAGGAAGTCAACATCTACTAGGCTGAAATTAAATTAGTCTAGTACATACTCTAAGACTTTAAGGTAAGAAGATGTATGCCAATGGCTCTTCAACATGCAACAATACCTCTAACTATTTGAGGCAAATACCACTGAAAGAATTATATATGTAGCTAATTATTTGAGAGATATGACAATCATATGGTCACAACATCAAGTTCAAAGCTATGGAGCTTAAGGTGGATTTTGTGATTGACAGGAATTTGAGACCGAGTATAAGAATCAATTTTGGCTCATCAATGTCAAAAAGATAATATGCAATCAATTGGCAAATCTTATACAATTCAGTTTGATGCAAGATTATATCTTCCAATTCAAATTTCTATATCTCCAAATTGGTAATGTTTCAGAGGTTGAGATAATAGATTGGTTTCTATAAGGATTGAAATTTGAAGTCCAATGAGAGGTGGAATTAAAGGATCTACAAAAATTTAAAGAAGCAATTAGGATTATAGAGAGGGTTGATGCTATAGATTTCAAAAATTGTGGAGCATGACGTATAGCAAGAAGTCTTATGCTACTATCTAATATTATGGCATAATAATCAACATCAATGGAGATTAATACCTTGCAAAGATGATTGACACTACAAAGATGACAAATATTGGTACACAAGGGATTGTATTTCTATTGTTAAAAGTGATGTTATCAAATTAGAGCTGATCCAAAACTTCAAAATTTAAGCACTAACAAATCAAGGTGGATTCATAGTCTTAAGTTTCACAAAGTTAATACTAAGATGGAACATAGAAATGGAGCTCCTTAGTAAAGGCACCAAAGGCCAATACTAAGGTTAGCTGTTGTCTCTGAAAGACAACTGGTATGGCCTTAGACAACTATAAAAAAAGATTGATTGGTATATGTAACAAAATGACTAAAAAGATAGCCATATCAAATATTTGTGGATTGTGGCTCCATGAAAAATTGCATGTTGACTTCGAATTAAAATCAAGATAATCAAAAGAAGAAGTATATATCTTATAGATGACCAAGAAAATTTATTGAATGTGATATTTGAAGAAAAAATCTTAAAATAGAGTGACATCTTGTCATGGATATATATCTATTTGTTACTTAAGTAGGTATAATTAAGTAAAAGTAGATTAATTTCATAACATCTTTTAGAAAAGCCTCATAGAAGCTTCTTACATGCTGTTTTTATTTTACATATGTTTGTAGTTGATTGATAGGTTAGAAACTTAGTCACTCTACTTTAAGGCTTTTTATTTTGCTACTTTTTTTTTGACAAAGATTTTT